GTACACGTACCTGGCCTGCAGCGGCCATCTTTTCAGCAGTGCTTGTAGACATGTTCTTCAGGGCCGCTGCTGTGTTCATCTTACGTCAAGATTGCCAAAGAAGCCTAAGAATCCTCCCAGCCAAAATGCAGCTGACAGAATATACTTGTGGGATGCACATTCTGCCTTACACAGGCACATTTCACTTTCTGACAATGCTGGAGGCGCACTTGCTCAGCAGAAAGGGAGACCATCACAATCTTCTCCATGTTGCCCAGGAAGAAAGCACAGAAATGTGCTTGCAACGTAAGTGGCTTACAATGTTTTGAGACTTTCAGGCCTTTCGGGATTCCTATCTTTTCATTTCAGAAAACTGCTGGGTTCATGGGTTATCTGCTTAAACCAGTAATAGCTTTAACAATTCCAGAATAGCCCTAGGTTGCACGCATACATGAGATTCCGCCCTGAGGGCTGTTTCTAAGCCAAGTGCTGAGGAAAGGCAACTTTCCTGAAAGGATTGTTTTTTCACACATGTTGGCGGCTACAGGTAGTCACTAAGCCCTAAAACCCATGCGATCTGGGCTCCTTCAGACTGCCAGGTTCAGTGCTCATAATATATGGGCCTGGATAGTTGGGAATGTCACGCTGAGGTCAATTTGACTTACTGGCTCTTGGTATGGAGTAAGGGCATATATTATAAAGCTATTCTAGTTCCCCTTAAGTAGATAGAATATGGCTTTGGGTATATCTTAATAAGATCCCCATATACCCCATATTCTATCTACTTAAGGGGGATTGTACATAGGGATTCTGTTCCCTTACACTCACAACCACCAAGTTCATGCAACCTATATACCATTATTATACAAGAAATCTCGGACCATGGCATCGGTCATTATTTAGGGTTTAGGGTTTAGAGCTTAAACCCTAAACCCTAGACCCTAAACCTTAAGCCCTAAACCCTAAACCCTAGACCCTAAACCCTAAGCCCCTTCTTTCAGCTTCGCATTTGAGGTTTAGAGGTCATGCTCAGCGCCTGGCAGCATTCCGCAGAATAGCTGAAGGTTTAACACAGGGGCTCAAGGATTAGGGTTTAGGGTTTAAGGATTAGGGTTTAGGGTTTAGGGCTTCAGACCTTGCCTTGTGAGGGATTATAATATGGATCCTAATATGAATGCCCTTGGAAGGAAGGGGTTTATCAATCATGGGTCTACATTACGGGGCTTAAGAACTCCTTAGGACAGGGTTATGAAGCTTATTGTTTCGGGTTTGGGGTTTCGGGTCTTCTGTTTGGGCTTTTGGTTTATGTGGCTTTGGGTCTAGGGTGGAGACTACCTTGGGATGAGGGGTTTCATAACTTAGTCAGGGCTTAGGGCTTGCAAATCCTGAGCCCTGACCCTGGGCCGGAGTGTGCATATAACCAACTGATGCGTCCCACGAGTCTCCTAAGTGTTTGGGGTTTAGGGCTTAGGGTTTAGGGTTCAGGGCACTAGAATACGCAACACAATTGCATGGCAGTTTCTCAAAATAGTTCTTATGCAATCCCTAATAGGGATCCCCATAATCCTCTTCCTAGTCCCATACATACCTAGGGTCCCTGAAAGCGCTCTCTCTCTCTCTGAAATGGGTAGTTGTCTGGGTCTACTTCGAGAGAGAGCGAAAGAGAGAAGGAAAGACAGCGCAAAGTCCTCAAAACACGCGAGAAAAGACATACTAGCATTGGGGTACTCGTAACCCACTCCAAATTGTAGACAGAATCAACGTATGAACTCCCAAGAAACCCCTAGTTTCCAAGGCCCCCAACCCTAAACCCTAAAAACCTTAGGTACAAAGATGCTGAAGATTGGAAGAATGAGGAGAGCATGCTGAAACAACTGGCAGCAAAGACGATTGGCCTACAACCAGACCTGGTCTTCATTGGTGGAGACATGCAGATTCTTGGCTAAATGTAGTCGTCATCATCATCGTAGAAGTAGTAGTGGTAATAATAGTAGTAGTAGTAATAGTAGTAGTAGTAGTAGTAGCAGTAGCAGTAGCAGTAGCAGTAGCAGTAGCAGCAGCAGCAGCAGCAGTACTGCTGCTACTTCTACTATTACTGCTACTATTGCCCCTCCTCCTCCTCATACTTATCTGGGGGTTCCGACAACCGGTGGCCCCTTCTCGTTGGTCTCTATAGTGAGGCTTACAGCATTGTCGGATCTATCATTGGGCCTGCCCTGTTTTTGGAAACTACCATTTGGTTCGTGGAGACACTCAAGAGCTCCAACCCCAACAAAACGCCCAGGTTTAGGATTTAGGGTTTATAAGGGTTTAGGGGTAGAGTAGTCCTACTTAATTGCATGCGTGCTGGGTTGACAGAATTATGGCTCCTGCCTTTCTTCGCAGCCCGTGATTTTTGCGGTAACCCCAAAAAGGGACATCATCCTGACAACCAGGGAATTAGGTAAACGATTAGCCCTCATAACCCCATACCATTCGTTTAAACCAACGAGCTTATTCCCAGTCCATCTTAAACCTCGAGCTTTAAACCCAAAGTAAGATTGTTTAGCTTCGCGGTCTTTCAGAAGAGGATATTGGTAACCCCAACCTCAATTTAGAGTTTAGATTTAGGGGATCCTCTGAGAGTATGGAAGCCTAACATGATGCTAATTGAATCTTTCTTTTTGGGGATTGAGGTAACCCAACTCTTTCGATCAGACTTCACTTCTTCGAAAAACTTGATTTCTCACCTATATAGCCCAAATACTTACATAAAGGTCTGAAGAATCTACGGCACCCCTACTTTGAGGGACCTACCTCTCAGGGGTGGTGCCCTAGACCCTCAACATCCCCGAAACTCAGCCTTGAACCCCTTATTCCACCTACTGTAGTAATTACAAGTAGTTACCCATTAAAGTATGTAGAACAGGCGCCTTTTGGCTGTTGTTAGGGGTTTAGGGCTATTATTTTACTTCCTTTTGGTGTTTAGGAAGTAGATACCCATTTGATTCCCTGAGAACCCGTAGATGTAGCAGAATGTATCCGAGCACCATCTTCTAACGAATTAGGCCCCTACGTTTACAATTGCCTGGGCTTGCTTGTGCAGGAACTGGTGGCCCAATGAGAAGGGCGACAGGAATCGAAATCGGGCAGGTGGTATGTCTACTGAGGACCTTTGACGAAATCTGGCCATCTGGCGGCTTCTAGAGGTTAAACACTTTAGGTTTCGTGGTCTAGGTCCTTTGCATTTAGAGCATCCTCAGATTGTACTGAATAGGTCCTGTGTATTGAAATCTCTTGCATTTTTGCAGAGTTCCAGGTTGGGACGTGTGTGAGCGGACTTGCGTCAGTTGACAGGCCTGATACTTGATCAGCACATGCTTTCCCCTCCAATTGACCTTCCAAGGCATCCGCTCTAGATCTTGGACCTGTATAGTAACCCTAAGGGTCCAAGTACCTCATAATTATATACTTACCCCAAACCTGTACTACAATTACTATTACCCAAAACCCAATTCCCTAATTGTTGGGTACTTGGACCCTTACCCTAAACCCTAAACCCTAAACCCTACCTGTATCGTTAATTGTCTTGAAGTTTCAGGGTAGTCCGCTCTGGCAGGATTGAGGCTATTGGGCTTGGGCTTCCGCCCAGTTTGCCTAGCTGCTAAACCCTAAACCCTACACCACATAGGCCGCAGGGCTCGAATTTTAGGATTTTGGGCTTAGGCTTAGGGCTTAAGGCTTAGGGTTTAGGGCTTAGGGGTTAGGGTTTAGGGTTTAGGAAGCCTAAAGCACTTCTGCCCTAGACCCTTAGCTTATGGGTGGTGAGCAGGAAGGAATGGATTTGCAAAGAGGTTCCTAAACAATCCCAAGTCAAAATTCTTATGGTCCATTCCTTCACTCCCTACTTACCTCCATACACGTGAACCTTGAACCCTCTAAGCCTTAAACCCTAAATCTGAAACCCCAAATCCTAACCCCAGGTCCTAAACCCCAAACCCTAAATCTTAAACCCTAAATCCTATAGATCAAAAGCCCTAAACCCTAAGCGCCCTAAGCCCTATAAGTCCTAAACCCTAAATCCTCAACCCTAAGCCTTAAACCCCAACAAGCCATGTTTACCGTGACATGCCCGGGCCCTCGACCTTGGGAGGACTTCGAAGCTCTTTGCGCGAAGGACTTGGGCCGTAGCTTGCATGAGAGCTATAGACTAAACTCCTTAAGCAGGATTGTATAGGGCTTTAGGGTTTAGGGTTTACGATTAAGGGTTTAGGGTCTAAACTCTTTAAAAGGGGTGATGTAGAGGATTAGGGTTTGGGGTCTAAACTTCTTAAAGGGGTCATAAAGGGGAGTATTATGGGGTTATTAAAGGGGATATTTGGAGTCCAGACTATAGCTCCAGTGAGCCAGTCGGTATCTTCGACCAACTTGGGGCTCTTCTTTGGGGGCGCCTTGCACTAGGACACCAGGATCTAGGTATACAGCCTGATGGTTAAAAGCTCCGGGCTTAAATGGTCTTTTGGGCATATTTATTTTGAGGACTTGGAGATTGCCCATTCGCAGTATGAAGAGCCATGCAGGAGGCCTCATGCTTACTGGCCTGCGCTTTGAGTTTTTTTTGCCCAATAGCGGATAAGCAAGTGGAAAAGAACATGAAGATTGAATGGAACCTGTGGTTTTAATATGCAGGGTCATGTTACCGACCTCTTGTTAGCAGGGAAAGAAGGTATGGAAAAGTGAAGTGAATGAATACTACTGGTGGGATTATGATCCGTTCACTTCTGGCTATGCAAGCCTGCAAGTTAATCTCTTAGTTTACAGTCCAGCAGTTAACTCTAAATCCTAAACCCTAAGCAGCTGTGTAGTTAGATCACTTGGGGGTGTCTTAATATTCTGGGGCTCATATTAATCGGTGGTCTGATTGTGTTTAGGGTTTGGCGTCCACATATTCCGGGCAAGTACCATATCCCTTCTTCCAAAAATGTGGTTCCCTTCACAAGCACGCAAGTTCTGCTGAAAACTGCCCCTTTTTTTGAGCTAAGGTAAGCAGAGGGCATCGGTGCAGCAATCAGTTCAAGCTCTGGACCGCGCGGGCATTCCTGTTTACTACACCCCTGGGAACCATGACATCGGAGACAACCCCGATGCCAAGACTCTTGCGCAGTACACGCGCACCAGCGGTGATAATCCTGGGTGCGAGCCTCCCAAAGACTTAGTCATGGTTAGTTGTGAACCTCTGAACCCTAAACCCTTAACCCAAAACACCACAATGACATTCAGTAGGGGGAAGAGCTGCTTGTGACTCGCTACCCATACAACCTGGTGCAGTCTGGAAAGCGATCGAGCCCAAAGACCGAACCTTACGCATAGGATTCAGGGTTTAGGGTTTAGGTTGGGTCATTCCCCCTTACAGTAATAGTTACCACAAGGGGTAATAGGAGTTATAATAGCCCCTTAATAAGGCACCCTTTAAGGACAGTTACTGGGTGGGGGAATGACCCAAGGTTTTAGGCAACAAAGCCTCCCTAAAGCGTACATTCTGCTAACTGCCGCCATCCTAGCCGTATCAGGAAGGATTCCATGGGGCAGCCGCTGTACCAGTACCAATAAAAACAGACGCCTTACCCTGACTATGAATCTATGTGTGAACAACACGTGCTTCACACAGACGTTCACATGCATGTTGAGTCTCTGTGCTTTCTTTAGACAATGGAAAATGACATGGCAACTACTATAGTATATAGGGGCTATATAAGGATAATGGAAAAGAAAATGGAAACTACTAAAAGTTACCTCCATTTTTTGAGTTTTTTTCCTGTTCAGCTACCCTAAACCCTGTCAGGTGGGGTCCACTCTTCCAGCGCGTGCTCGACAAGAATGGAATCTTGTACTTGCAGTTCAACTCGCAGGCTGGAGTTCTCAAAATTTAGGGTTTAGGGTTTAGGGTTTAGGGTTGAGGGTTTAGGTATTCGGGGAGGTTAAAAAATTGTTGGACGATCATATGGAAAAGAAAACGCAAAGGATCATGTGGTGTTATAGTGTTCAGGGATGTTTCATCCCAAAAATCGAGAGTCATATGGAGAAATGGAACATGAGAATGGAAGCTCGATGTTAATAGGGGGTTGACACTGGCATCGTCACGTAGGGGCCTCTTTCAGTACAATCGGGATTAATGGATCATGGAGACTCAAATGGAAACAAACATCGACATGTAATGGGGTTCGCAGGTGGGGGGTGGTATGTTCTACTGGAGACATGAAATATAGTCTAGGAACTCCAGTGGTACCCTTTTCCCCTTTTCATTTTGGGGTCTCCTTATTTAAGCTGAGCATTAGGAAGAAGGGTACCCTTATTGTTAAGCAGTTACTGGGGAACCTAGTATTTACGGATTACAAGGGACAAGTAATTGTAATTATTCAGGCATGTACCCTAAACCCCAAACCCTCAACAAGTAGTCATCAATATTCAGGCTTGTACCCTAAACCCTAAACCCTAAACAAGTAGTCGTAACTATTCAGACCTGTACCTGAAACCCTAAACCCTCAGCAAGTAGTCGTACTTATTCAGACCCTGAAACCCTCAACAAGCAGTCGTAATTATTCGGGTTTGTACCTCAAGTTGCTTGTTACGGGCCATGGTCCCTAAACCCTGAACCCTAAACCCTTGTTGGATGAAGGTCGGTCTCAGGCTCGTGTAGGGCAACGGAAGCTGCGTATAGAAATCCAAGACCCCAAACCCTCTAAACCCAAACCCCCTAAACCCTAGCCTAGCAACCATAAACCCCCTAAACCCTAAACCCCCTAAACCCCCACCGTGGTGAGGCTTTGGAATGATATTCCTTTCGTGCTTTATACAGGTCCTGGGTCTAGGGTTTGAGGTTTAGGGTTTAGGTCTAGGTTCGAGGTTTGTCTCATATAATCCAAAGTATATAGATTTGTACATATATAGTAGTTTCCATGTTCTTTTCCATTCCCTCATCCCCTACCAACCATCAGGAAGCCCTGTGAAGCTCTGAGGTCTATTGGAGCACCGATAGCTTTCTCGACAAGCACCGCGAGGAGCAGCTGGAGTTCCTGAAATCTGAAGTAGGTCGAATTCAGAGCGATGTGAAGCGACTGGTGCCTGGACCCCTAAAGTATGTAGAATTGTAGCCTTTTTGATTTTTTATTGGTTTAATTACGTGTTTTATTTTACATAATTTTGGGGCTTAGGTGCTGCTGACCCACATTCCTCCGTTCATGGATTCCATCGACGAGAAGGACTACCTGGGACGACTTTCGGGTTTAGGGTTTAGACAAAAGAGGTACTGTCAGTATTGGGATTACCGAGGGGCCATTAAGAGTGGATATAGTTAATTAATGTAGGCCCTGATGGGAACCCATGTCCGTTGACGATATGTGAACTACTGCCAGTAGCTGGCATGGCTCTACTTGCAAGGAAAGGAGGAATAGGGGGCCAGCCAGGAGGTATGTCAGAATCAGAAGATTTTCATACAATCTTTGCGGGGATGTGTATAAGCCTGCCAGTTTCCAGGCAATTTCAGATTCAGGATTGAGACGGTTTAGGGGTTGCGGGACCCAGGCGCGTGAAGTCCCCAACGCCATGTATCATGAATTTCCATAAAATCCTGCAGCTGCAATCTGTGGCACCCGAAGGCCAAGCAAGGGGCCATCTCCAGCTTAGATAGATGATACCCAAACCCCGAAGGCATGTAAAACGATAGCCCTAAACCCC